CTTTTACGGAGCTAATTAAGGTTAAACAAGGTCATAAGGGAAGGACTCTAATCCAGGAGGACTGACATCCTTATAAGAGATCTCTCTCTACATGAGCACCAGAGAGAAGGACACGTGAGGACATAGCTAGAAGGTTGCCAACTGCAAGCCAAGGAGAAAGGCCTCAGACACCAACCTTGTTAGCACCTTGATCTTGGACAACCAGCCTCAGGAAAATAAATTTCTGTTGTTAAAGCCACCCAGTCTGTGGTATTTTGTTACAGCGCCCTGAGCTGGTTAACCCCCTGGTGTTCTTTTTACGAGCGTCAGAGCAGTTCAGTAAGTGGCATACACTGAGCATACACTGTGTGCCTGGCATTCCCGGCTGTGCATGCGGTCAGGGGGCTGATGCTCACTAGCTGTGTATCTTTGGACCTCTATGGGTCTTAGGGTTCATGTCAGTTTATTTTAAAAATATTTTTATTAATCTCAGAGAAGAAGGGAGAGGGAGAGAGATGGAAACATCGCTGATGAGAGAGAATCATTGATGCCTCCTGCATGGTCCCTACTGGGGACCGAGGCTGCAACCCCTGCACGTGCCTGAAAGGTTCGGAGTGGGCCGGGGTTGCGCACCTATGACATGAGGCCATAATGTATCAAAAAAGATTTTATTCCCAAACACCTGAGTGCAGGTGGGCTGAGACCGAGAAAGGCATCAGCGAAGAGAGCAGGGAGAGGAGGTTTTTTACTAATTTTTGCAGACTGTAAGCCGCTCTGCTGACGTAAGGGTCCGGTCCGTCCTTGGTTCCTCCCGTGCCAGGTGTCTTCTGGTTACCCGAGCTATGCTGTGCTCAAGGCTGCAAGCTTTCTGCAAGAGATCTGCTGAGCACAATAAGTTTTCCTCTGCCCTGGTTTATTCTCTTCAACCCTTTCAGTGCCCTGACTGGGAACTCAACGGTGACCTCCTGGTTCTTAGGTCGAGGCTCAACCACTGAGCCACACGGGCAGGGCACGTGTGGATTTCTTAAGATTGTGAAGCGGTTAATAAGAGCGAATGCGTAATAAAATATTTTGTAAACCAAGGCAGAACTACATCAATTTGGGCCGAAATTACAGCCCGGCGTTCTTGGCCGGGTCTGCCCGGCAGCGGTGCGCAGGCGCGGGGAAGAGCCCTCCGAGGAGCGGGAACCGCTCAGCCGAGTGTGCGCGCGCGGCCCCCACACGTCACCGCCGAGGGCGGCCCTGTTGCCTTGGCGACGGTTTCGCGGCTCAGGGCCGCAACCAGCAGCTCCTCCTCATCGCGAGACCCGCCGGGCGAGAAGCCCCGGCCATGGCTTCGTCGGGGGCTGCGTCCGTCTCCGCGGGTGTGTCCGTCTCTGGGACAGAGGGGACGCTTGTAGCTGACAAGATCTCTGGGAAGTCCGAGAACACCTATATTCTGCGGCCCGTGTTCCAGCAAAGGCGGGTACAGGACGGGTTGCGGCGGGGCGACCTGCGGGACTGCTGGGCCGGGCAGGCAGAGCTCGCCTGGAAGCAATGGGTGTCGGGCAGGATCCCGGGGAGAGGGAGGCG